TCAGGAAAAAATACCAAGTTCTACTCCCCCTGCCCAAATCCTCATCCATCTGTTATCAGGGAGGCAGTTTCAATGCAAGTCATGTTCGTGTAAAAGATGCTGGCTCTACTTTCCATGTTCACATACCCTAACACAGAAGACTTTCTGGGTAAGAACTACCACTTCTGTAGTTGATTCCTTTGATGGGGTGGGGTGGGATGGGAGACAGCAACGGTCCCAAATGAATCAAGTTCCATCTTCAGATTCTTTTATCCAACTCCAAAAGGTGAGTTTACTAAAAACAATATTAGACAATTGTGTAGAAAGCACTTGGCTGTAAAACTATGCTGATAGTTGGCTGCTGAGTAACAGGGTAATCCCAGGCAAAGGGGAGGTTTCAGGTTGTCTACCCCACCCAAGAAAAGTGGGGAGCGGAGCATTGAGGAGAGGTTGGAGTGGACTGGGAGAAGGGGGGGAGATCAAGAAAAGGGGTGAGAGGAAGCACAGGAGGCAGAGACCTGTGACAAAACCTTGCTTGCTTCCTGGCCTTGGACTTGAACATGGAAGGAGACACATGAAGGAGACAGAGACATGGGTGGAGACGCAGGGGGAGCTGACAACGGCAGCCTTTATTTTGACATGGATTTTGATTTTGCTCTTTTCCTTCCAGACTTGCAGTAAGCTTTTGGCCTCAATGGTCCTGCTTTGGGCCCACCCTGTTTGGCTGGACATTTACCCATGAGGGGATGGGTAACCCATGAGTGCTGGGTTTGGAAACTACAGTCTTTTTTTATTTTTTTTTTTCCCTATTTCACACTAGTTGCATTAAAGTTCTTTTCCACTGAAAAAGGTCTTATGCACTAGAATGTGTTGTGTAGATGCGGCAGAAGGAGGGTTTGGGGGCTCTGGGGGAACTTCACTCTGCCCTATAACAGCTATATCAGACGTGCACCCAGGTAGCCTTCTTCCGCAATCCAGTCACCTCACGTCTGGCAACTCGACATGCAAAGCCTCTAGAAAGTTCTCTCCCTATAGTTCTATCATCTCTGGAAACATAAAGAGAAGGAGGCGAAAGGGGGGCCTGTGGGATAACCTCCGGATATACGTTCTTTGCTCTGCCTTGTACAAATCAGCCCGACTGGGGCATAAGCACAGGCCTTAGCGGGCTGCCCATTGCTGTGTCCTAGCAGGACTGGGCTGGCACACAGTAGGTTTCAATAAGTGCTGACAGAATGAATGAGAAGCAGGCAGACACTGCAGACAGATACAGAACGGGAAAATGCCACCTCCTCAACTTCCTATGAGCTCTAGGCCCCTGCACCTACACAGTACTTACATGGGGCAACCGTGCCTATAGCAGCTTCTGAATGTGAACACACATGTTCCCTGAGAGCCTCGGGACCCTTCCACAGAGGGTCTCCTGAGCCATGCTGCCCAGGCCCCAGGTCTACTGTTTTCTCTGGGAGAGTTTGAAGAGTAAGAACCTTGATGGGAAGATATGCTCACACTTTCACTGGCTGGAGAGACGCTTCCTGGGAGGGATTCTTCCAGACCCTGCACTGGGGCCGGCTGATGAAAACCAGAGCTGGCAGGTTTTCCCAGGCTCCCACTGTTCTGGGATTCTGGGGCAGGGAGGGCCTGGGGACATCTTAAGAAGCAGGTTGGGGCTCTGCAGAGCACAGACCTAGGCTAGGGAATCTCTTAAAGGCACACAAGTACATATCCACGTTTTTTCAGAGCTGAACAGAAACGCCTAAGACATTTGAAAGCATGGAAGCCAAGGTTCTGGTTCTAGTCTCGACTGATTTGAAAACAATGGTATGAAGTAATGACACATACAGTAGATCACGCTGACTACTGTGATTTCCTTGGATCGTAAGTGACTGGGAACAAAATACAACAACTTGTCTGTTCGCAGAATCAATCAGGTTCAGAAAAATCCCGTTTTCCCACCCCCTGCAGGCCTCGGTCCCAGAAATTGATATGCCGATACAGGCCAATGCTGGAAGCGTGATGCGCCCTGAAGCCAATCACATTCCCAAGACAGAGGTGGAGAAAGGACTTGGCAGGTGGGCGTGCTGAGTTAATCGGCAGCAGCTGACTCGAGTCGCTCTCACGCCCACTGGTGAGCTCACCTCGCTCCACCGCCTTCCTGTTTCTCAGAGATGCTCGGGCCCCCCCTCCCCCAGATGCTGCCAAATGCTGAGTGCCCCTGTGAACAAAGCTTCGGTGTTCCCGGCCCCCTTCCAGGATCCCTGCAAGCCGGCAGCTGCTTGCCCTGAGTGTAATTTATTCCTTAATTAGTTGCACCTTTCTAGCCCAGGTTCTTTTGTAGCTGCTACTCACTCACTGACCCCACGAATATAGAAGTCTGCTCCCTGGCAGTAAGGCGTCTGGACCTGTGGGGCTTTTGGGTTTGCTACAGAGAAGTTCCAGCCAGCTCCAGCTGCCTCCAGTCTGCAGGTGGGCACGGACAGGGGTCAGGGCCCAGAGTTGATGATGGGGCTGGGCTAGGGCTGCATTTTGGTGGTATTCCAGTGGGTGGGGGAGACCCAAGTCTAGGACCCGTGCAGTCCAGCTGCAGGGAGTGCACTACAGGCCCGGCGGGAATCGTCCACAAGCCTGTGGACTTGGCAGAGTGGTGGGGTGCAGTGTTCAAGTGTGGCTGGAGGGTAAAGCTGCTGAGCCATGTTAGACCATTGACATTTTAGTCTGAGGGTGATGGGAGGCACGGGACTGACTGCAGAATGATAGAAGGGATGAATGATCAATGAGAGGTGTGAGGAGGCCGAGAGAACCTGAGCTGGGAGGTAACACGAGGTGGGGTGGGAAGGACAAGTCAGCCTTGGCAGGCCTAGGGGTGGAGTGGATGGGCTGGTGGTAAGGACTCAACTACTGACACTTGAGACACATCCATTAAGTTGGGACAGATTTGAAACATGGAAAGCATCTGGTGGAACAAGGTAGGATCGAGTATTAACTGAGCCCCTATTATACCCCAGGCATGAAGTGAACGACACAGATGTGAGGTCATTCAGTGTTTCTAATTCCCATGGCACGCAGGACTGGGTTTCAATGTTCAGACCCCATTCACCACCAGCTATCAAGTCAGGCACTGGCCCAGGTCTGCCTGCACTCATTTCTTCTCACTGTTGCCCTGCCAACACCCCCAGCACCCACATGACTGGGGTCATCTGACACTTGGCTCCTGGGTCAGTAGGTCAGGTGTGCGGCCTGGAGGTGACAGGCCCAGGAAAGAGCTGATGATGCTGGTGACAAACAGCATGGAACCCTGACTTGTGGTTTGGGCAAGTCACTTGATGTTGGGAAGCCCATTTTGCTCATCTTAAAGTAGGGGTAACATTGAGGGAGAAAGTAGGTGAAGGCTGGGAGCACAGTCTCTGGGGAATGCATGCAGCAGGTTCTCTCATTTGCTCTCAGCATCTCCCACCCTCTGGGGACACCTGATCCCTCAGCCATGGTTTCTGCATGACTCCTCACTGTCCGCAAAGAAAGCCAGGACAGAGTGCTGGTGGGACTGGAGGTGGGGGGCAGGCGAAGGGACATGACGCACGCTGGGTCTTACAGCCTGCCTGATCCTCTGAGACTGCTGCACCCATTTGCAACCCACTGCAGGCTACACAGCCCAGGAGGCGCCCATGGGGCAGGTCTTCCGGAGACTGCCCCCTGCCGGAGCTGTCTGACCATTGTGGTGGCTGCCAGCTCATAGGCCTAGTCCCTGGATCCCCAGATATTCCTGGGCTGGACTCCAGGGGCATGGCTCTGACTTGGAGTGAGGGGTGTGTGCTTAAGCTTTCCATCTGTGACTTTCTCCCCCACAGCTCCATGCTGACTCCAAGAGGGTCATGTTCGGAGGGAGTAGGCATCCCTGTGAAAATGGTAGAGGTGCAAATGGTGGGAGGGAAGGGCTTGGCATCTAATGGGTGACACAACTTCATCTACCTGAAATATGTGCTTTCCTGCCCTCACATCGACCTGGTCTTCAGGCTCCTGGGCCAATTGCTGACAACTGCAAGGCCTGCGGCCTCAGTGTCTTTCTTTCTTTCTTTTTTAAAGATCCATTCATTTATGCGCATAAGAACTGGGGTACAGACCAGAGGTGTAGGGGGTGAGAGGAGTCACGAGAGCCAGAGTAGTGAGTAGAACAGGCAGATGAACCGAAATACATTGCTGAGGGGAGCAGCGGGTGACACAGGACAGGTCTTCCACACCTTTCTTTATACCTAAAGCCTTATTCTACTTTGGGAGTAAATCCTGTGGTTCTATCTTTACAATCTATGCTTGCTCCTAATTACTCTCAGATCAGCGGGTGGAATGGGATTCCCTTGAAGAATAAGTCCTTACTCCTCTGTCTAACCATCTCCAAGCCCCCCCATGCTCCCTTTCTGAATGAAAGCCAAAGTCTCCCCAAGCACTGAGTAGCCGTCAAGACCTCCCTGGGTCACTGACCCCACACTGCTCCTAACCCTCACTCACTAGAGGGTAAACCCACTGGCCTCCTGGCCATTTCTTGAGCTCGGCAGACTCACTGCTGCCCCAGGACCTTTGTACTTGCTGTTTCCTCTGCCTGGATCACTCTTGCAGCGTATTTCTGCACAGCACAACTCTTTGAATTCCTTGCGCAAATATTACCTCCCCAGTGATTTCCCATCCAAAACTGCACCACCACTCCACTCAGTACTCCCTACTTCATACTCATCCCTGGCTTGGTTTGTCTCTTCCCACTCTTCTGTAAGTTCCATGAAGGCAAACACAAGTGTATTTTGTTCCCTGGGGTGTCTTCCACGTCTAAAACACTTCCTGGCCTGTGGTGACTCAGTATTTGTGCATGTTGTTCAAAGCCTTGATCTTTGTTGGCAGCAGGTGTGGCAGGGATTGGGGTGCAGGCCAGACTTCCTCTGTGGGCCCCTCCACCCTTAAAGGGAGCAACAAGCACCCTCCTCTGCCCAGCAAGTTATCTGTCAGCTCCCTCCCCTGTCTCATTCTCACCCAGCACTCACCATCCACTGGATTGAGGTAGTCGTGGAGATGGGGCGTACCGGCAGCACCCCCACTCTGCATCAGCAGGTCCCCATAGGGTGCAGGGTGGCCCGCCATGAGGGTCATCTGGTGGTAATAGTCTGAGGGGTTGGTTCCTGGAGTGGGGAGGCCAAATAGTCCCCTCTCCTTAAGGTGCTCGTGGGCCACTGTGGGTAGGAAAGGAGACAGAAGTCACAATCTGGAAGCAAAGGGAGATGCCCACATGGCCTGAGCAGCCCCCGTAGTGCCCTCTAGCCTGTGCTCTGCCCCTGGGCCTTGTCCCCTTCCTCCCATTCTCCAACCATCTGCACCAGGCTGGAGTGAGTGGCCTTCTTTCTGTAGATGGGGAGGCCAGGTCTGGCCTCTGCATTCCTTCACTTCCTCAAGGCCCTCCTCTGAGGGTCCCACAGAAGCTCTGAGCTGCAGGCCATCAGGATTCATGGTGGCTGGACAGTTGGGTCAGGCAGCCTCGCCTGGACATTCAAGGTGGGGCTGTACACTGAGAGCACTCCGGCCTGGCCAGATGAGACTCCTTGCCTGTGCTCCTGGCCCTAGCCCTAGGCTGCAGGCCCTTTGCTGTCTGTCCCAGCTCTGCATGTTGCTCTGTCCAGAAAGGGGCAGGGAGGGTGACATTCAAAATATCTCGGGAGGCTGTGTACTCAGGGGTGTGGTGTCCACGAAATAACAAAGTGTGGAAACCAAAATAGCCAGAGTCCCGGCTTTTACCACATGTGAACATTGGGAGATCCACCGCTCTCGGCTGGCCCAGTTTTCCATCTGTAAAATGAGGTGATAGTACCCAGCACTCAGATTACTATTAAAAATGAAAGTAGCAGCCAACGTCGTACTGAGTGTGCTGAGTCTGTGCAGAATTCACATTTATTCTATAATTTGACCATGATGAGCTCAGGGACACTATCACCAGCGCCCCCAGCGGTGAGGGTTCTGCTTAAGGTTGCACAGCAGGAAGGTGATTGTGTAACCTGGAGTTCTTGACCTTTCTACTCCACTTAACCTTGGCAAATGCCACAGTAGAGCTTGTGCACTGGGCAGGCAGAAGCAGCCAATCAACAGATGTGGTGGTCCTCCCCTCCCTCTTCCTCTCCTTCCTCCTCCTGTCTCTTGAGATCCTCGACAGCCAGCCCTGGCCTCCATAGGCTGATGGCCCAGGGTCTCTGTCTGATTGTGTGACAAGACATGCTCGGATTGCTGAAGAACTTTCCAGACCTCGTGGGCAGACATGCGGGCCAGCACAGCTAACAAAGCAGGTGTATGAAGTTGATATGCCTCTCTAGTAACTCAGGAGCCTGGCCCATGGCCAGTGAGGTATCTGGTCCACCCCCTGCAGGCATCAAGGACATGTAAGCTAGCCAAGTTCCCTTTGGTGCCAAATCATGAGATTGCCTCATGGGTTGGGCACTCAGGGGACCTAGGCAGAGTTCAGGGTTGCATTACAACCTAAAGTGCCATTTCAGAATGGTCACGTTCTGGCCGGTCACTCTCAAGTTCCGTGGCTGTGACCATTCACCTTGTCTGGTTTCTCCTGGTGAAGACCAGGCAGAGCGCACAGCTCACAGGCGGGAGGACGAATCCAGCGCCTTGGGGAGCGTTTCTGTACCTTTGGAGCCTGGAGTTCTTTGTAGTGTGAAACTCTAGCTAGACCCTTGTCAGATCCAGGCTTGGCTTCTGCTCATGGTCACATTCACGTGGTGGGAAGACACATCCCCTCGTGAGGATGGAGACAGTGGTGAGGGCCCTAGGTCAGTGTGTCCCTGGGGTCTCTGCCCACATATTCACGAGTGCAGATTGCTCACTAATATCCCCCATCCTGAAAAGGGCTGAGAGGGAAGGTTTCACGGGGCAGATCTTGAGACGACACAGCTGGCTGCTTTTGAAGGTGGCAATGATGAGAAGTTAAGGAGACACTCTGGCGGCCCCATGGGACAGTGGGTAAGGGCTCCTCTAAACGGGAGGTGGTGCACTTCCCAGGAAGACAGCATGAGGAGGACTGCCTCCCAGTAGTGCTCCCGACTGCTCAGTGTGAGCATCTGTATACAGCACATGTCTGCACAAGTGGCAGTGGGGTGGGGTAGGGGCTAGACATGGAGAATGTTAGGTCTTTAAAGCCATTTGGAAGCTGGGAGCCTGCTCTTTCCTGGCTCAAGTTAATTGCACTGGGGTGGCCCTCTGATTATGGTGCCGAGGCAGTCTATTCCCTCCCAGGCCTCTGACCTCAGAGACACAGAGCGGCCGCTGAGTCCCTGCATCTCTGAGTCTGATGGCAAAGCCCATCGGAATTCTCTGGGCTTTCAACATACACTTATTTAGGAACCTTTGTAGTTCAGGGGTGATGAGAAGGAACAGCAGCCTGCTTCCCATCCCAGGTGCTAGGGAATCAATAGTGTCTGTTAACACCCCAGCTCCTCCAAACCAACGCCCCAACACTTCCAACCTTCCACCCACCACACCCCCCAGGCCACCCCAAACCCTACTCACCCTCAGCAGGGCTGAGGCCTCTGGCTGCCGAGATGGTGGGGAGCGTGGGGCTGCTGTGCATGGCACGGAGGTAATGCTCCATGTGGGGGCTCACGTACGGGTGGGGGGCGTTGAAGGGGGACTCCCCAGGACCAGCGGGGTGTGGGGAAAGCCGGATCAATGAGATGTCAGAGATGACAGGGCTGCCGCTCAGGGAAGGAGGCCTGCAGAGACAAAGAGGAATGATCTAGAAGGCATGGCACACTGGAGGAGGACGCACAGGGAACCCCGGGAGAAGCAGTAGCAGATGGGCCACTTTTGTATTTTGTACACCAGCAGCCTTGGCCCAGCTTCCTGTCTGAGCTCCTGTCTCCCCGGCACCTGCTCAGGCTGGACACATAACAAATTAACTTTTGTTAAAGAAACAAGTGCAGCATGTCCGAAACATGCATGGAAAACAAAACACGAAAATACGGATACCTGGGGTGAGAGGCCGAGTGTTCATGTTGCCAAAAGAACTGAGAGAAAGAGGAGTCAGGTGGTTTGGGCTGCAGCTGGACAGTCATTGGTGTGAAGCCCGGTCACAGGGTCTGGAAAGTCTAGGATTCAGGAAGGGTTGTGAAAGGATGAGCCCTGACTAAAATTTTGGAGTATCGGCCCTCCCTGGTGGCGCAGTGGGTTAAAGCACTGCACTGAGAAGCGAAAAAGCCACTTCCGCATGAGTTCGATTCCCGCCTGCCCCGGAGGAGACCACATGGCATGACAGACCTCTCCTGACCCGCCCGCTGCTTCCCTCAGCAGTGTACTTCATCTATCTGCCTGTTCTGCTCCCCACTCTGTCTCTGGTGAGGCCTCTCACCGCCCCTGAGCCTCTGGCCTGTACCCCAGTTCTGTATGAATAAATAAATAAATCTTTAAAAAAAAATTTTTTGGAGTATCACCCTAGCTCCTCTTACATGGAGTCCCTTCTGGATCTGACAGGGCCACTCTCCCATGCCCACTGTCAGCGTGCCCCGCTTGGTGGCTCTGACCTGGGCTGCTGAGGTCTATCTCCGTGTCCCCTGGCCAGCCTGGGAAGTGCAAGCTCTGCTCAACCCAAGGATGGCGTCTTATTTCCGAGTCTCTAACCCACGGTTCTCTGAGCAGCTGTTTGCCCGATGCTTCAGGGGTGTCCTGAGGTCATTACCAAAATACACCCATGAAAGAAAAATCAGACTTCAGGGATTGGAGCTGGGAGCACACACTGAAGTCACTGGGAACCAAATCTTCCAAGATTGAATTTTCCATTTTTCAGAGAATGGGGTTTTTCTGGAATTCGATATAGCACAAGAATAGAATATGTGTTAGAATCAGGCCCTTCCCCTTGATAGCTCAGTCACAGAGTGAGAAATTTCTCCAACTCTTGGTTTCCTCATCTACAAAATGGGGCCAATAGTGCCCATTTTACAGAGTGTCCATGAAGAGGAGCTCCCCAAATAGTGCCTGAAACTCAGCTGTCAGTGAGTGAGCACCAGTGCTGCATTTACATGCCTGAGGGCCCTCAAAATCTTCACACGCGACAGATGTTAGACTGTGAAGAGGTATCGTTAGTGTTGGCTAGCTCAGAAAGACAGCGATTTGTCTGTTGACTGGAGCAACTGGAGGTAATTACTGATTAGGCTCAATAGTGCATGGAACGGTGCTTCCAACATGGTGCGTGCCAGGGCCCACACAGGTGACAGCCAGATGTCTCACTAGCCAGGCTCCGTAGACTCCCCATTGGAAGTTGCTCCTCCCCTTCAGTGGAAGCCTTTGGCTCCATTCTTTCCTACCTTCACAGATGTGGCTGCTTAGACCTGCAGCTCAACATTAACACTTAAATGTGCTTGTTGGGCAGATTCCTTCTCTTCCCTTTAAGCCCAGGAATCCCCTTGGTGAGGAAATCCCTTTAGAATGCCCCCCTGAAGCATTTTCTCCTGGCGTGGGCTCCCTGCTACCTCCTGGGCACTTCTGGTCTTAGGTTGGCTGGTCCAAATCCCAGGTAACTGGGTTCTGCTGGGAGCAGCGCAGGTCTGAGGCATTTCTACATGCTGGCAGCATCAGGGAACTGGCATCCTGCAGGTAGTTAGAGGTGTCTTCAGAATCAGTGATGGCTGCACATTTGTGTGTCCAGCACTGGACTTGGCAGAGGAAGGCTTAGGAGGAAATCATGGAGTCACGGCCTCAAGGTATTCTTACTCGTTGCTGCCTTTAGAGGTAAGTGGGAGGGAACTGTGTTCTGTGTGAGGGGCCTAGAGACATATTTGCTCTGGGTGAGGACTTCCATGTGTCCAAGAGAGGGGACAGAGAAATGGACCAGACTAACTCACCCTCTTACCACGTCCTGTGGCCTACTATGCTGACCCTGGCAGGCTGGACACTCACAGTCTTGTGAGAGGACAGGCTTCTTTGAGAGGACAAGACAAGGAATACACCAAGGGTCTGTGGGGAAGAGAGGCCTCTGTGTGACTCCTGGGGACATATGGGGTGAAAGGATTCTGGAAGGCTGTGTGTGGCTCAGTAAAAGGCAGGTATCCAGTCAATCTGGAGAACAGCTGAGACCTACGTGGGCCCCTGAAGCAGTGCAGGCTCTCAGAACTGGGTTGAGAGAGGGATTGTTTCCTGCACTCTTGAACCAGTCCTGTGTTGGGCTGACCCATCTCACCGCCACCCTGTTTTGCCTCTGCATGGGGTAGGGCTGTGCTTCTCTGAGCCTCCTGCCTGCTCATGCCAAGGGCCCAGGACAGTCTTCTCTGGCAGGTGGCTCCAGGATGAGGGGAGAACCTGGGAGTGAGGTTGCCTCGGGCTGACTTCCAGCCTGTGTCCGTCTGGCCACCGGGTATGGAGGAGTGACTTCCTTTCCTGGACCCAGAGTCCTCGTGAGTGAAGTGTGCCTGTTGGTGCCAGCTTATTCTGTCCCCTCCCAGACAGGTGGCACATGCTTCCCTCATGGGCCAGTGTTCCAAAGTTAGCCAGGCACCTGACACAGGAAGGAGTTTCTCTGGCAGAAATTGGCACGCCCTGCTTACTTGGCGTGTGGTAAGGAAGCCTGAAGCTGTAGGACCTGGGCCAGCAGCACCTTCGGTGGATGGATGCAGAGTTAAAATATGCTGCTTGGCACATGTGGAGCAGAACTGGCTCTGGATGCTGCAGGGGGGACTCAGGGCCTAGGGACAGTGAGGCAGCCTCACTAACCCTGCTCATCCACACTCAGTTGGGTGGTCGGCTTGACTGCTTCCACTTTCCAGCCCCTCACCATGGTAGCGCAACCGGCTAGGGCTGGGTGCATGGTAAGTTCCACAGGCATTGACTCCTTCCCCTCTTCCTTCTCAGCAACAAGTCAACTTGGGGTGGGAGAACATGAGAACATGCCCATCAGCCAACACAACCACAAAAGACTGCCCAGACACCTCCTCCAGGAAGCCTCTCTGTGCTGCACCACTTAGCTGTGTCCTTATTAGGCGTATTCTCAAGTGCACTTCAGCCATCAAGGGACCACATGCATGTATTTCTTTCTTTCATCAAAACAAACAAACAAAAAGCAAAGTAGGCACTTTCTGTCCACTTTACACAGTCAGCAAGTCTAGGTCCTTTGCCTAAGGTCACTTAGGCTGCAGGTAAGAGAGCCATCATCACCCAGGGGCGTCTAGGCCTGAGTGCAAGCTGAGATCCTTCCCTCAGCAGAGAAATGGGTGTTCTTGAAGATGGTGATGATTTATAAGTGGGGCTCGGGTCAGTAGAGCTGTTTCAGCTCTCTCTTTTATCTTCACCCCCACTCACCTCATCATCACACACAAATCCATCCAGCTTTCTAGCAGGAATTGGAACCTCACTCTTGCACTGTTGTGAATGACTGATAAGGAACTAGGGGCACACATGTTCCAACAGATCATTTGACAGACTAAATAAAACCAGGACAATGAATATTAAATGGCAAATTCCAAACAATTCATTGGGAGGACCCGGGAACTGCCCAGGAACCCTCAATCACACCAAAATTGCCAGTCTTTAGGGAACAAAGCTTCTTTCTCTTGGATGGCCCCTCTTTGGGCCCAGCTGAGCACCCCCAAGCAGATGGGTGCTGGCAGTGCTGGTGAACTGAGGAGCAGCCATGGTTCTCACCGGGAAAAGTGTCTGCTAGGGAAATCTGAGCCACTACTTCAGGCCAAATCCAACAACAAACTCCCTTTCTTCTTCCATTTCTTTTTTAAAGATTTATTTATTTTTGCATACAGAACCGGGGCACAGGCCAGAGTGCAGGGGCGGTGAGAGGCTTCACCAGAGACAGAGTGAGGAGCAGAAGAGGCCAACTGACGAAGTACACTGCTGAGGGGAGCAGCGGGCAGGTCAGGAGAGGTCTGCTGCCCTGTGGGTCACCCCCGGGGCAGGGATCGAACTCATGTGTAAGTGGCTTTAGCTTCTTAAGTGCTGTGCTTTTTTACCCACTGTGCCACCCGGGAGGGCCTTCTTCTTCCATTTCTATGCTATCGGCTGAGTGAGCTCACCCTGGTCTAAGTTGTAGTCCATTCAGGTCCTGGGTTCTAGCAACTGGGAAGAGACTCAAGAAGGTGGCCTTGAGAAGGGGAGGAAGGCCCACCTTTGTGAGCTCATTTAAAAAGGTGCTCAGTGTTGCCAACGTGGTAGACAGGCACACATTCATACCTACAACTTGCAGCCTGTAACCAGCTAGGCTGGAGGAGCTTCCAGCTAGGCTGGAGGAAAGGTGTTCACTTTGGGTACTACTTTTATGCATTATCTTCCCCCCTTCAATACAGCTCTGAGTTCATCTGAGCATGATTCTACCAGTTATTTCTTCATATATGTGTTCAAATACCCAGTAAAGTGGTCCCAAGTACTCACTCTGTTCCTAGAAAACTGTAAGGGGCTCAGAGCCCAAATGATACAGGCAAGACCATAACTCATATAAGTAGCCAAGACTCCAGCAGATGAATAAATACCCTAACTCTGCATAATGGCACCTATTAAAAGAAAAAGAAAAAAAAAGAAAAAAAAGAAAAACAAAACAAAAACAGGCAACAACAAATGTTGGCAAGGATGTAGAGAAAAGGGAACTTTCCTACAGTGCTGGTGGGAATGCAAACTGGTCCACCCACTATGGAAAGCTGTGTCATGTGGAGGCTTCTCAAACTACTAAAAATGGAGCTACTGTATGAACCAGCAATTACGTTCCTAGGAATCCACCTTC